AGATTATTTAAATATGTGTAAACCCGTTGAGTGGAGTTCTAGTACAACCATATTTGTCTATTTTTTTAATAATATATCATGATTTACACAGTCAAAAGCTTTGGAAGAGTCGCAAAAAGAGTTATTGAAATTTGTTTATAGTTTAAATTTGAATATAATTGTTGGAGTAATGTGAAAATAGCATCCATCGATTTTTTTTAAAATCCAAATTGATTGCCCTTGATAATTTTGTTGATTTTTAGAAAGTCCCTTAATCTGATTTGAACTACTTTTTATATTATATTTGCTATAAAAATAATTAAACTTATAGGTCTATAATTTTCTGGTAAATAGCTTGGACCTCCTTTGTTAATATGAAATTATTAATGTTTTTAAAAATACTGGGTAAACATTTGTGTAAAGAGAAATATTCGTAAGTTTTGTGAGGGGGAGTCAAGAGCATTAAGTGAAAGATTAGCTATAACATTCAAAGAAAGTTCATCAATGCCTGATGATTTTTTATCGTTCATAGATCTTAATACTAATTGCAGTTCATAAATGTCCGAAAGATAAAGTAAATTTTTCTGATTTATATTTATATGGTTTAGATTTTTTGGTTTTTCTGATATTCTGCAGTTATAATTATTTAGTGCATGTTGGTGGAAGTAGGAGTCTTGTCTCTTAATTAATTTACGACTTTACATGCCTTCTTGGTTTTATCCACTTAACTGTTTATATTTCTTTTTTTCTGAAGCTAAAGGTTGCTTATATACAAGGTGGCCCATCCATGTGTAGACAGAATATTATATTTATTAAAATAAACAAATTCATTTTGGGAAAATCTATTTATGGCATGTTATACATGACATTTGAGTTCACATTTCTAAAATATTGACAATTATACAGGGTGTCCCAATGTTGATTTACATATCAAAGTTGCGATTTTTTAAGTGAAATGCCTCAAATTTTATTATATATTTGGATAAACCAATAAGAATAAGATTGGTATAACATACTAGGGGATTTTGAGTTATTAAGCTTTTAATAGAACAACACACCAAAATTAAGGAAAAAAATCATATCATCCACGGAAACAAAAGACAAACAGTGGGCTAGTTCCATATTGCCACTAAGAGTACAGATTTGACGTAAAAACTAATAACAATCAGAACAGTATAAATCAGCTTCAAGCTTAATAGAGAAAAACAACTATAATGACAACATAAACAAACAACTATCACTACTCAAGACCTAATCTACAGATACTGCTTGAAAATATCTGCACCATGTTGAGTACACAGCCGTAATATTTTGATAAATGACCGTTCCACATCCCTCCTCATGTGTTCCCTTATGTTCAGAAAAGCATCCTTAATCCTTTCCTTCATATTTTCCGGGCTAGATGGTGGATATAATAATAATAATAATAATAATAAATGTCTTTATTAATCAGAATACATCAGTGAGGCGAAGTTTAGCCAAATGGCTACTCTTACACTTAACCTCACTGTGTACGAAAGAGTAACACTCGATACACAAACAAACAATAGTAATAATAAGAAAAAGAAACAAATGCACACTATTAATATCCCATCAGCTGTTTCTTAACGAGTCTCCTGAAAGGCACTATTGTTTTACTGCGACATATTTTATCTGTAGAGTTGTATAACTTGACAGCATGAAATGTGAAGCTTTTCTGGAAAAGGGCCGTATAGTGGACTGGCATCGCAAAATTTAGGTTGTGTCTGAGATTTCTCTGATTAATGTTACCTCTTGGTACTAGCTTTTCTAAAATGTACGGTGGTTTTTTGGTGCAAACTACTTTATGGACAAACACCTTCATAGCATAAACAAACTGTGATTCCATCTTTAACCAATTTAAATCTTTAATCTTCGAAGAGACATGACTATATTTACGAAGTCCAAACACAAACCTGCAGCAGCCGTTTTGAATTTTTTGTAGTCTATACCGATCCGACGAATCCAAATAAGAATAGAATAATATCAGAGAATGTTGCAAAGATGACAGGATCAAGCTTTCAACTAATTTTTTCCTAGTCTTAAAGTTTAAAATGAAACGGTTGGAATATAAAAGTTTTAATTTGGCATATGTTTTTTGAGACAGGTAACCGATGTGCCTATCAAACTTCAAGTTAGAGTCCAAGATAACACCCAGGTTTTTAGAATGTTCTACCATGGGGATGCGCTCGTTATTTATAATGAGTACAATTGCGTCCTTTATGTTATTATTTATGTGTTTCGGAGAAAAAAGCATACTTGAACTCTTTTCAGGATTGATCCTGAGACAGTGCTTTTTACAAAAATCCGTAATATTGATTAGGTCAGTATTAATTTTAAACGACACTTCATTTAACTGAGCATATGTGAAGTGAAATGATAATTGTGTGTCATCAGCATACGTTTGTATAGAACAAAATTTCACACATGAATCTAAGTCTATAGTGTAAATTAAATATAGCAGGGGTCCCAGAACTGACCCCTGCGGAACGCCAGACGAAACCACAGTACTAGAAGAGACGCCCCTAACCGTCTTAACTAATTGTTTTCTTTCTGCCAAGTAGCTTTGGAAAAATCTTAGCGGTATATCAGATAATCCAATGTACTTCAGCTTGCTCAACATGATTTTGTGATTAACTGTATCAAAGGCTTTTGAGAAATCAATCATCACTAATATGGTATTAATATGTCTGTCTAAGTTACCTACGATGTTGTCAGTTAGATGGAGCAAAGCTGAAGTAGTGCTATGTCCCGCACGAAATCCTGATTGATGAGGAGAAAACAAGTTATTTTGCTCTAAATACTCCACTAGTTGAATGTACACTGCTTTCTCTAATACCTTCGAACAAAAGCACAGCAAACTAACAGGCCGCAAATGACTATGAGTGGTTGGATTTTTGACTTTGGCTAAAGGGATGATAATAGCTTCCTTCCAAGCATCAGGAAAAGTCCCGGTCTCAAGGCATATATTAACAATATGTGTTAAATACAATAAAATTTCTGGTAAGCAGTATCCTAGCATGTTCAAATTAATTTCATCACTCCCTGTAGCAGGTGACTTGATAGAGGTAACTATGTCCAAAATTTCTTCAGCGGTCATCATTCTAAATGTAAATGGAGTTACATCTTGGCTGTTAAAGCTGTTCTCATAAAACTCTACTGTACTGTCAATCAAACGGGAATTGATATTAAGATTTTGGTTATTTAACATGAAGTGGTTATTGACTTCATTAGGGTCTAACAGATCATAGGGTATTTCAATGTGTTTCTGGGGACAAATATTCATTGCTCTCAGCTGATCCCAAGCTTTTCTAGAATTGAGATTATCAAAGCGAGATAAATATGCCTTTTTCTCACGCCGGATTGAAGCAAGTGAATAATTTCTTAACTGTTTATACGCTGTCCAATTTTCATCTGATGGATTGTGACGAAATTTAATTAAGGCCTCATCTCTCACCTTAAGAATGACCTTAAGTGCGAAAGTTAACCATGGAGCAGCTTTTTTGGTGACACGAGCCGTCCGAATAGGAGCATGAAAGTTAAAAAGCTCAATAAGCACCCCATAAAGGATTAGAATTTTGGAGTTAATATCGGTAATATACAGCATTTCTTCTAAGCCAGCTGCAGCCAAATCCTGCTTGAATTTGATTACATCAATGTTCTTAAAATCCCTATAGGTTATGAATTTTTCCTCCGATGAAACGGTTTTAATATTTAATTCACAGAATACTAGTTTGTGGTCAGATATCATATCTGCATTTAAGGTACCAGAGTTGAGAACACTTTCAATATTATTTAAAAATATGACATCAATTAAAGTAGAACTAAAACGAGAAATACGAGTAGGCTCATCGATGACCTGCCTGAAACCATAAAAATCAAGACAACTGCTGAGTACATTAGTGGTATCGAACATATCAATATTCATGTCTCCAAGAAGAATAATGTCATCATATTGAGGCATAAAGAAAGAAACAAGATTGTCTATGTGGTTTATACAATCATTGATAGAACAGTGAGGAGGTCTATAAAGTACCGCAACAAGCAGGCTTACGGAATTGATTCTACATTTACAACACAATAATTCCAGCGTACTGTTACCCAAAAAATCGATATTAACAGTACTGAATCTCAGATTAGCCTTTGCGTATATGCCAACCCCACCACCTCTGCCAATTCTATCTTTGCGAAAGAAATTATACTCGTGCATACTGATAAGATTATCTGGTATATTGCCTGAAAGCCATGTTTCAGACACAGCTATAATATCAAATTGATCTTTTACCAGCAAAGAAAACTCATTAAAAGAAGCTGTAAGTGATCGAACATTTATATGGCAAATTTTTAAAACATCATTTTTATTACTTCCCATAGTCCACGCGCTGCTTCAAATTGTCAACATAACCTTGGTACACAGGACATCCAGGAAAGTTAGCAGAATGATCTGTGGGCAAGCTCTTTTTATGTGACTTGTTATGATTAACACAGTTAATGCATTGTAGCGCCTCCGACTTGCACTCTTTCAGTTTGTGTTTTCTGCAGCATCTAGGACATGCAAGCTCTGATTTGCAAGCAGCTTCAGTATGGCCGAATGAACAACATTTGTAACATTTCATCAAGCGCAAATGGTCAGAAATGAAACACTTTTTCCAACCAATGAACAACGAACCTATTTGTAACAGGGATTTTCTTAAATCAGGTGTCACTTCAATGACGACACTAGTTCCGCTCTTAAATCTAAGTTTAGTGACAAATTCAATCTGAGATTTTTGCGTAACAGTTAAATTATTCAGGGTAGCTATATTCGTTATAATATCATCTGGCGAATCAATACCATCCAAATTAACATTTTTTATTATTAACCTTGGATTTAATTTCTTGGCCTCAGATATTGTATATTTAGATGCCAACTTTGCATCAAGACTAGTTTTCAATGAGTTCAAAGATGCATCGTCTTTACAATGAACCGCCACACCGTTACGGATTTTACGTGTATTATTTACACATATATTCATGCTGGCCAAATTGACAGATGATTTTATGTCATCTAACACTTTACTTGTGTCGGAGGTGTTGCTACCAACAGATTGAACCAAAAGAACAGATGAGTTGTCAATATTCTTCTGTTTTACTATATCACTAAAAAGAAGACCAGGTTGATGTACGTTGACCTGGCTACTACCACATGCTTGAGATTTTGCAGGTTCACGTTCTTCGTACGACTTCAGCAGGGATTTTTGCAACTGTACAGTGTATTCGAGATTAGTTAAAAGTTTTTTAGTTGAATCCAATTCTCGATTGACGCTTTCCAACTCTTTTCTCAATAATGTTATGTCAGTTTTTGTCTCATTACTGACTGACTGCAAGGAGCATTTACAATCGTCGCAAAGCCAAAATATATTTTCGCATTCTGAAAAGATTTTTAACCAGCTGTCTCTCACAGATACGCATGACGTATGGAATTTAAGCTTGCAAAGGCCACACTTTACTATTTTCGTGCACACTATAAAGTTATCACTACATACTATGCATACTTCCACATCAGGTGCCATGACTCTAGCATGGACCTAATTGCCTGAACTATATGCAAAAATTGCAACAAAATACCACAAATTCCACAGGTTTTTCTAGCAGGCAACAGATAACAATACAGAAAAATGGTACTTATGACCACTATAAGTAAGAACACTACGACGTAAATCAGTAATTGAGGCAAATTTTACCAATCAAGATACTGCACCGCATGCACTAACCATAGCACTACGTCAGATATAGCCACAATGAAATTTCCGATCTTTTTCCCTAATAAAGAGGCACTACCATCAACCCGCTAATCGGTGCGATGTATACAGTCCGACGGTCTGGACGGTATATGTAGTAGTAGTATATCTATAAACCTCTTGCTTAACGTAGCCCCATAGAAAGAAGTCCATCGGTGTCATATCTGGTGATCTAGGAGGCCAAGATATAGGCCCATCACGATCGATCCAACGATTGTTACGTACACGATTATGATAATGCGCAGGTGCGCCGTCGTGTTGGAAGTACATATGCATCCGCGTTTGCAGGTTGACATCCTCTAAAAGCAAAAACATTCAAGCTCCATATTTTCTCTCATCTATTTGCCTAACCCAGTAAGGGTTTTCCGTCGCATAATAGTGCATATGATGCCTGTTGACAACACCTATGCTGTTAAAAGTTGCCTCATCGCTAAAAAAAACCTTATCCAGGAAAGTAGTGTTTTCACTCACTTTATTTAGCATTATTCTACTAAACTCCATTCGAGCTGCGAAATCCTGAGGACAAAGGCCTTGATGCAAGCATAGGTGATATGGATGGTACTCATGCTTGTGACGAATCCTTTGGACAGAAGTTCTGCATATTATATCAGTTTCTGCTCCAATTTGCCGTGCACTTAAATGGGGATTTTCCTGCAACTTTAATAGAACCTCCAACTGATTCGCCTCATTGGTGACACTTGGATTATTTATACATTTTTTAATATATTCCGCTGCTCCACTTGATTCAAAACGTTCTCGTAGTGTGGAAAATGTTTCCGGCCTTGGATGTCGCATATTAGGGTACCGTTGCTTATAAATGCGAGATGCCAGGTAACTATTTCTTTGGGCTTCGCCCAAAACGAACACCATATTCACCATTTCTTCTTTAGAAAAATTTATTTTCAAACACGTTTTTATTATAATGCTCACAAAGCTAATTTTGACAGTTTGTAACTAGTCAACAATTTATTTGTTTTCAAGGATGATTTTTAGGGATTTGAGCCGTTCCATAAAAGACGTGCTAATAACCAAAAAAATAGCAGTACAAACCCCTATGTGTCTAGTATTAAAAAAAAGCTTATAAAAAATTGAATCCAAACTTGCACAAATTTACTGGATGGTGCATTTGAAATTTTTGAGAAAAAGTACAATTTGCGTTTTTGACCACCCTGTATGAGCAAAAATTAAAATTCGAAAAAATTAATGAGATAAAAGCGTGTGTAAGTTTTTTTTATACAAAATTCAGCACTCCAAATTTCAAAATGGTGGACTGAGAGGTTGCCGAAGTGGGGGCATTTTCTAGACAAAACACCTGATATCTCAGTAGCTAATTACCAAAACCCCATAGAATATTGATATAACATATTATATCAATATTCTTCTTTTGTTTCGGTTTATCCAAATATGCAATAAAATTTGAGGCGTTCCATTTAAAAAATCACATCTTCGATATGTAGGTCGAAATTGGGACACCCTGTATAATGGCCAATATTTTAGAAATGTGCCCTCATATGTCATGTATGTATCATCTTGAACTTGCATATTCAAGTTAAAAGGTAAAAGAGGTTGTTTAATGGGCAAGACCATCATTATTGTCATTATAAGATACGAGTATTAAAATCTCCTACAAGTAAAATATTAGAATTTTCGGGTAAATCAGTTAAAATGGTTAATATCTCCCAAAGGTGATTTATATATGCAAATTATGTATGTATATGTAGATTTTAAATCAGATTCAAAGTGTATTTCTTGATTAAAAGTTGAATACTTACTAATTTCTTCAATTTCTGTACATGCATGCGTCTTTTTGGTCGTTATGTAACACCAAATTTAAATGTTGCTTTGGTCCTTCGAGCTGAATATCATCCTTGCACAAATTTTGATGAATATCATAAGATCTGGCAACGTGGTCGTGAGTTGACCGCGCGCGCCGTTCCCCCCTTGCGCCGTCCCCCTTTTCCCCACTGACTCCCTCATCACCGGCATTTGTGGCTCTGCGTAGCGCAGTAGCCGAACCGGTAGGTAACAGGTCAATGTGTCTCCGTCTCACTCATACACACTGTTGGTTCTTTCTGTTGTCTTTTTCTGCCTCTCTCGCCTTTTAAAATCCCAATTTTTATGCCACGAGCCGTAGCACCGAGAGGGAACGCGGGTCGTACTTCAAAACCTTTTTTCTTTGAGATGAAGATCCGTCACTTTATCCATAAATGCCTTCAGTCCGTTGTGTCCGTTCATGAATTATTAGTTGCCTTGATTTTCCCAACCCAAAATTTCGGTCCCCATAGGGTTCTTAGGGGAAAACGTTAGGTGCGAGTAACCTTATCAATCACATGCCCTCATTATTGCCAACTCAAGGTCACTAAGTTTCTCTAACTCACTCACACCCACTGTTGATTCGTCTCTGCCTTCATTGCCTTTTAAAATCCTGATTTTATGCCACGAGCCGTAGCGCTAAGCGGGTACGTGGTATTATTGCCAACCCAAAGTCTAGCGGGTTCCAAGAGCCTGCCTGGAGGATCTATTACGCGCATTTCCCAGTACAATACAGTCAATGTATGTACTCATCTCACTAAGCCTTTTTTGGAGGTTTAGTTAAAAGCACATTATTCATTATTAGGAATGGTGTCTTTGGGTCCCTTTTTTGATGATTATATCAAATGCTTGCCCTCAATTTTCACTACCTAAGGTTTAGGGAGACTGACGTTGAATGGAACAGGAATCCTCTTAGGAGCTCATCAAGAGATTTGTTGGATGTGAATGTTGTCTGCACTTACTTGACTTTTTAACTCGTTAATTTTCCCAACCTAGGAACCCTTAGGGTGCCAAGATTCTGTCTAGACTAGAGAATCTGCAGTGCAAGAACGATTTTTCTCAAGAAATAAGGTGGATGTGTTAGACCTTTCCAAGTTCACAGAGTTTATGAGACTCGATATTTATATAGAAGATAAATCCAAACCTCAACTTTACGAATTGCATTTTTACATGCTGGCATCCAGTAGCAAATTCTATGACAAAACCCGTGGAAGTTATAGGATCGGCACACGTTTGGTGCAGTTTAATGTAAGACGTAGTATTTCCAACTCATCCAATGAAAGGCACCCATGCGCACATCTAAATTCGACCATCTATTGAAATGGGATGAGCGTTAGGGCGCTTCTTGTTTCTGTTATTTTGAAAGTATTAAACTGTACCAGACTTTTACATTCCCAAGCAGTGATAATTTACACATCTCGTCAGAGAGGAAGCCGCTGCTAGTCTTTTCTCTGCTTCTCACCGGCAGAGATCCGCTTAGCACTGGAATTTCCGCAAGTGGAATGCTGAACATCAACAAAACTATGGATCGGATTGATCGTACAACAAACAATGTTGGAGCCACGGCAGGTCCCTGGCGAACACCCCCGCTTACATTGTGAGACGAAGAAGAGAATCTATCAACTACGATGGATATCTTGCTGCCTAGAGAGAAAGTCAGCCATTCATCTGAGTAACTTCTCTGAGAGGCCATAGGATGGAAGTTTCCATAATACGAGTAGACCAGCATGCCACAGCTGACCAAAAGCTTTGGTGATATCAAAAGCAATGATGACATGAGCCTCACCATATGACTGAACGAGTTTGTTCTATCTTTGTTTGACGTAAGCTAGGAAATCTCTCGTTGATTGGTGGTGTCAGAAACCATACTGCCTGTCGCTAATCAATCCGTGATGTTCGAGATACTCCAGAAGCTCCCAATTTATGCACTTCTCCATCACTTATAACGGAAAACAGAGTTGTCAGAGAGGGTCGGTCTTAGATCCTTATTATAAATGATTGCAATGGTTATATACGTTATACGATATATATGTTAGGTACAAGTATTTAAAACTTACTTATTACTGTGTTTAATTGTATATTAATTTTATTGTTAATTTTCCAGACAAAAAAGAAGTCAGAATTGAACCCATCCGTCTGGGAGTTACTATGCCCCGATCAATATACACGTAGCCGAAAAAGATTTAGAATTTCCAAATTGAATTGAAGAAATACTAGATACACACCAGGGGAAATATTTCTGTTGAAAATGAAGCATCAGATGTGTAGATTTTATTTTTTACTTTGTTGACTTGTCAATCCGATTGAAAATGGCAGGCTTTTGTTCTCATTACTAGTATATAGCATACATGGTGTCCTGGGATTTCCCTTTTCAGAAACACCTACATACGTTTGTCATTACAAAGCTAATGTGTGGTGAAACAACAGCAAAAAATAAATGCAAACGTACTTACCGTTTATCGAAAAGAAATTTCAAGTACAGCTCTGTCACTTTTAAGTATTGATCAAAGTTGTCTGCTATAGATTCAGACACATGTGCTCCATGTAGCCAAGCATCAGTGTAGACTTTTAGAGTGGATTACCTTTCCCGAATAGATGCATCAAATTGCTAAATTCGCACACGTAGTTCGTCAGCCAGGTTTTACACAAAACATGTCATTTCACCACAAAAAAAGGAAATCACGAAGGATCTTAAAAACGATCCACAGGCACTCGTGAAGCCTTGGTAGCATTTCGAGGACATCACCGTGAAATAATATGGACAACTTCGATATTGCTGTAGAGTGTGCCATTTTTGTTTTGTTTTTTTTTGAACCGATGTGTAAAGGTGTTATTTACAAACACGGCCACTGTCTAGATCGAGTACTGATGAGCACGTACGTGTTCACGTTTGATCTGATCGAGGTGCTGGACCCGATTAGGCTTTGTTTAGGTGCATATGTATGTTACTAGAAAAAACT